GATGTACAAATGCGCTTTACACAATTGATGTGTGTATGGATTGGGATAACAGTTGTATGAGCCCCTAATAAAATGTTAAAAAAAAAAAGAAAAGAAAAAAGAAAAAGACCACTAATATTGTTAATTTCATTTGAAAAAGAGCATTTGGTACTGAAAATCTGGAAAGCACATATCTCAGCATGATGAATTAAAGACCGCATACTTACTGGAGCTCCTTGTGGCCCAAGTCGCCCTCTCTCGCCTGGCATTCCCCTAGGGCCCTATAGGGAAGAATAGAAAACATCTCTTTAAAAATCGAATTTGCACTGTATGGTAGTTGACAACACTACACAATCCAGTTGAAATGTAATACAGTCGACAACCAATAATCTACGATCTCTTACCTAAATAGATTTTCATTGAACCTGCCTATTAGGAGTTGAATCTGCAATGTTTTTTTAAATTTTATAACCAACTACAGAAAAACACAAAGAGTGTTAATTGGATAGTAAGAAAAACAATGAAATGCAGTGAGCCTTTTCCACGTGAGGAACTGAATTGTCTTGCTGGACTGTGCCTGTGTTCTAGTGGTCAAGAGTTCTTCAACAGTTGACCCGTGTTGCCTGTGACTTTTTACTTGCTTAGGTTGTCATTTAAACATTCTCTTAATTAAATCCCCAAAGGCAACAAAATAAGAAAAAATAAAATAAAAGTGATACCTACCATAGGACCCATAGCACCCATTGAACCAGTAGGGCCAGCTTCACCCTAAAGCAAAAACAAAATTCCATGACAGTAGGAGATATTCATATCACTCTGTGTATCATGTTACAGGTCTACAGTCCAAGTGGCCATTTGAAAGGCATACTTTCAATAAAGGACCACAGCATTTTGTTCTGTTTACCCCAAAGTGCAATGGACATTTTATTTCTATAGAAAAAGGTCTAAAATAGAATTGGGAATTTAAACAAGATTGATGAACTAGCATGTCAAGCCATAATAATCAGCATCAGGGAATGAATTATATATCTATGTTTAACAATAGTTTGGCACATATAAAGCTAAATTAACTGGATATTTCTATAAAATCAGTTATCAGGAAGTTAGAAATGAAAAATTTTCAATAAAAAATTATGTTTCTATTTCTGTCTCTCTCTTTATAGCTCTATATATATGCATATATGTGTATGTATATACATATATTATTATGCTACCCTTAAAAGTTCTCCATATTGCCGTGATGCTCTATCGCCCTCTGGGACAGACATATTTTTGTAAGAAGCAATGGCCAGAAGTCCTTGAGATGAAAGGGGAACTAAGTCATGGGGCTGATCAATCATGGGAACCTCTCGACTGTCTTTAATTAAAGAAGAAAAAAGAGTCCACGCTTTCTGGAGGTGGGTTAACAGGGCCATCGCCATATGAAGACAGCACCGACCCTTCACTGGCAGAAGCCAGTACTGTGGTGATTATTCTAGGTGGTCGGGGCAGATGACACCACCTCTCCTCACAAAGTCATTGCTGATTGCTCTATGAAAAATTACATTTGCCTACCTAGCCACTGATAGTCTTCATTGCTCCGGAATTATTGAAGGTAATTAAAGCAGAACTTAAATGCCATAGTGAAGTTATCTTGAGATAGTACACATTACCTACCTTGGAACCAGTTGCTCCAACTTCACCTTTTGGGCCTTCAAGACCTTTGTGTCCCTGAGAAGAAAAATATCAGTTTGTATTTGTCTAGTCAATGTTGATTCTCAAAGCATAAAAGTAAAAATATGGTCACAGGAAATGCCTTGTGAGAATGGATTTCAAATTTAAAGTACTTGCTAAAATGTTTCCAATTCTTAATTTTTTTAAAGCCTTCCCAAAGAAAATTAAAATAGTAAGTTCTCTTTAATTCCATAATATTGTAGTGTTTAAATTAATAAAACTGAATAATATTTTTAACCTTCGATGGTTTTGCCTTTCAAATATTGGTAACTTCCTGGAAGTGTAAGCCATTGTCAAATATAAATATATATAAATATGTGTGTGTGGTTGCTGTGGTGAAAATAAACAGATTATAGTTCATATAGTTATAAGCTATGAGCTATATTCTGGGGTAATGTTCAACATGTTTAATAAGTAGTTCAATAGCAAGCAATTTAAGCATAAGCTCAACTTCTCAAAACAAACGAGAATCAGTATATACTGACTGAAAATCAGTCATATTGTCTTGTATATGTTGATATAAATCTAGTTTAAATGCAATACATAATAGTTAAATATTAATTACCTTGAAATAAAAAGGGGATATATGCTATGGCTTTCAAGTGTGGATTGCCTGCCCCCCGTGCTCTGAGGCACTCTCTCCTAAACCAGGTCACGTAACGGCTCTGTAGTCATGATCTGCCCTCTTTGAGGGTCTTTTATTCGCCAGCGGCTGCAAGCCATGGGTGGTGTCCTAGTCCTCACTGCGCCCTCCGTCACAGCAGTGTCCGGGACATGAGGAGGATCCCAACTATATGTGCTTCTCAAGGCAACTTAAAGTGAGCAGCAATAAGGAAAGCCATTGTGCCTGCAGTAAGTTGCCCCAGGCGAGCATGGCGATGAAAGCGGGTCACAAACAAGCGAAGGCAGTTTGGACACAGATTTTGAAAAGAGTCCTGCCCGGACCCTACTCAGCAAACCCCAGTGTCTGAGAGGACTGCAATGGAGTGCACTTACTCGGTGACCCTTCAGGCCTGGAAGACCAGGAGCCCCCGGAAAGCCTCGAGCTCCCTGAGAGGAGGGGGAAATAAATAAATAATGTCAGAATCATGAATAAGACCAAGACATTTCTGGGCACAGTTCTCACCAATATACTGAAAAAAAAAAATTCATCTTTCAAACTATGACTCATTGCCATCCAGTCGTTCCAGTGTACAGGGACCCGATAGGACAAGGTCTGACTGTCCCCCAGGGTTTCCAAAACCCATCATTTAGAAAGCCTTGTCTCTCTTCCACAGAGCGGCTGGTGGTTTCAAATTCGCAGCCCAATTCGTAACCGCTCCCTACACCACCAGAGAAAAGCAGCACAGTTGCTAGAAATGGAAACCTAACCTACATAAAGACATCATTCAATTCCTAGTATTATTCACGTGAGGACATTTTTGAATTTTCAAATGTTATCACTGCTAGCAACAAAAACAAGGAAGTAATCGCAAACCCACGTGTTCAATATTTGAATCAACTAGGTCAAAATATAAGGGTAAAAAAATCAGGAGATGAACACAAGGAAAAATGTATTGTCTATCCATTAAGCTGTGTCTTTCTATTGGGTAGAAGAGTAAATGAATTTATGGCAAACCAATTTTTTATTTTCTCTGGAATTCTAAATATGGACAGGAAGCAGAATATAACTGAAGGAACTGCATTAAAATATGATCAGGAAATAATTTTTTAAAGCTATTCTGGAACAGATTTTGGGAATTGTTATTTTTTAATTAAAAACAGAAAAAATCAACAGATAGAAAAGTAAAAGAACATATAGTAAGGCTTGGTTTCTCAGGTCAATGATTTCTTAATTTCTCCTAATTTTATGTTTGCTCCACAGCAAACACACCCCTTCAAAAATAACCCCCCCAAATAGAAATCAACAGAAAATTAAATGCAAATGATATCACTATTTCTCAAGGATGCTTGAAATGTTTCAGTCTCTTAAACTTGATAAGGAAATCTTGATTTCGTTATCTGTTAACTCTCATTGCCTACATGCATTTGGGTTTGAATTAAATTCCATGACCACTGTCTCCTGCAGGCTGGAGTTCCGTGATACACAGATATCATTGATCTGCGTACATGGACACTTCGCTTGATGCTTGGCATTTAGTGGGCATTCAGTGAGCGACATTCAGAGAAACAATCTGCTGGAGAAACCATGCAGCAGTTCTCTGACCTCTTAGTGGGCTTGACCGAAACATTCCTCAAGCAATTTTCTTGTTCAACCACAGTCTTAACAGATGACAAATCCCATCTGTCCTGTACGTCAGAGAATTAATTTACTGTTTACTAAAGGAACTAATAAACAAAAAATGAACTTTATAGGATAACAGCAACAATTCCTGCCTGGCTCTTCAAGAGGAAATATTTCTTTGGGGCTTGAGAAGTTCCACAGTAAAGTACATCAAGCCAGGCTGTCTGAGCAAATGCATATCTGCTCATTTTGTTTCCACAGCCCTGCTTAGGAATGCCTTCCCTTCAGGACCTCCCTTTAAGTGTTTCCACTGGAATCCTCCCCTTTACCAAAGCTTGCCTTCCCTCCTTCCTAAGCAAGAAATGTGGTACACACCCATCTAAGCATATAGGGGAATCACAGTGCTGTTATTTCAAGCAATTAGTTAACATTTCAATTTGTTTATGATCTGCAAAGGAAATTCACATACAATCACATATCCCTGATATAAGAAGAAATTGAACCAGATGTCCTAGTGCTCATAAAAAACTTCTCATTCTGCTGACCCAAGACTGTCATCACACTGCAGTCACATGTTGTATTGCACTCACAGAGCACATCTGTGATCTACTGGCAGGGCAGACTCCCCCCCGGGAGGGTCTTGGCCTGGGGTAATCACAGGAGTACAGCCCAATGGGAGCTTCAAGCCTGGGCTGGTTGAAATGAACATTTGTGTGAATAACGAGACCCCTGCCTTTTTCTACATTTACTTCCCAGGCCGAATGGGGAAGAAAGGAAACCGAGAGCAAGCAGGGGATTAGGGAAATGGTTTTATATTTTCAACCAAATCATCCTGAGAGCTCTGGAAATTCCACTAAATGATAAGCACTCGTTTGTTTTTAAAAAAAATTCTAGCACTGACTCTCATCAATTTTCAGAAAGTAAACAAAGTAATGGAATACTGTTGGCTCTCTTGAGGGATTAAAAACCTTAGGAAACTGGAGAAATAAGTAGGAGTCCAATTTAGAGCCAAGGCTGTTGGACAAGAAGAAATTGAGTAGGAATGCTAGGGGAGACCTTTGGCTCACTTAACCTGCTCCTTTTCCCCAAGGCCTGCGCATTACCCCTATCCCTGTAGAAACAGTGAAGACAGGAAGGCAGGTTCAGGGCATAGTCAAGCAGTGAAGTTTCTGAATGTCAGTGGAGTGGGTTTCCAGGGATATATGTCTGCAGTGGGCAGAGGAGAAAGCAAACAGCTGTGTGAGAAAGTTGGCAATGGGCGCATCCTGTCCTGAAGTTTTAGGACACAGGACATTAATCAGGGATTTCAGCCAGCACTAAAGCTTGGGGAGCAGCCACTAAGGCATCCTGTCCACAATTTATTTTCCCTGGCTTGTAACACATATGTTAACAAACCCTCTTCCAGCTATCATTTTAGACATATGGGACAATTAAAATAGAAATATTAAAAAGATGATAAACATATTGAGATGTTGTGAAAAATAAATCATAAAGAGTAATATTTGAAAATTCCATTTTTCGTTTAGCGACTATCTTGTCCAAGTACCATTCGGAGGGCTATTCATATTGTCCCAAGATGAAACATGTGGATCAAAAAGCTACCTCTCTGAAAACAAACCCACTTACTGGTGTTCCTGCGGAACCTATCTATACATTTGAGAAGAACAAGGAACCAGGGATGCAGCGTAGTTTAAAATCAAGAAAGATTTGCATCGGGGTTTTCTCCTTTCACAGCAGTTATTCAAACTGTGTACTGCACAAACGCTCAGAAGTCGAGCTATAAAAAGAACCCAGTGTTAAGATGGGAGGGACATTCATCAACAGCCCACTCTGTGCAAATGGCGTGTGTTCAAAGTGAGAAAGACTTGAGGCCCTAACTGACGAAACACGAAGACCATGAACTTCAGTGCAGATTACACGCAGCATAAAGGAACTGCAGCTCCTCAACACGAGATCAACTATCAGACCGTGATTGATAGAGAAAATACTGAGGTTCACACGGGATTTCAGTTTTCCTGGAGCCACCACCAACTTCCAAGGAATCGCCAGTAAAACAACAAAATGATCGGGCTATTTTATTGAAAGTTTTACAGGAAAGATATGTCACTCAGAATTCAGGTCCACCTGACCCCAACAATGGCTATTTTCATTGCCTGAGACGCAGGTGGAGGCTGGTGAGTGAATAAGGAAGAGTGAGCAGCTGATGCATGTAAAGGATGGGGTTGACGAAGAGCACGAAACACTGCATGGACTGGCCAGAGAATAGACAGGTTTGTCTAAGAAGTACAGGCAGAATGTTCCTCAGTCTGTGGACAGGAGGCAACCCTCTCTGGCGAAGGACAGCATGCTTGGGGAAAAACAGACCCTCAGCAAGATGAGCTGACACACTGGCTGCAGCCACGGGCTCTCACAAGGCAAGAATTGTGAGGGTGGTGCAGACCCGGCAGTGTGCCACCCTACTGCACAGCGGTTCACTACGGCTTAGAACCAACCCCATGACGCCGAACAAAAATGCCCCCCGGAATGGACGAGACTGGTTTGCAATAGCAGAAACCAGCATTTCTTGGTGATGGGGTCTAATAAACATTTGTATACAGGAATTGTGGGTTACTTTTTTTTTTTTTTTGTGGGTTACTTTTAATGTTCTCAGTTTTCTGAAATGTCTTTATGCTCAGACATTGGTGAGTATAAACTTACTGCAGATCCAGAAAATCCCACTTCACCAGCATTTCCATTTCTACCAGATTCACCCTTGGTGGAAAAAAATAAGAAGGGCAAAAAAAATCAATTAAAATATTTTCCCCTGAGGTTCCATGACAAGTAATTTGCAAATGAGTGATCTTTAGAAAATCCAGGTCCATATAATCAGTGTAAAAAATACGAGCTCTATTCCCGACAGCAATCTAATCTAACAAGTCAAATTGTAGCTATTCCAATAATTAATCCAGAAGGATAAAAGGATATCAATTACACTAGTCTTCCTTAGCTCACCATTTAAAAAATATTAATGTATATAACACCTGCTATAAATTGTACTGAAACGTGGTACTGAGTTGAAAGACAACTTGACATTTTCTTGCGATAAAAATAATCTCAAGAATTACCTGAGATACCCTATCTATGAGAAAACTTAACACATCCATTTAAATAAGTCTGGTGACACACAAAGAGAAAATATCTACATTTGATTTTACTGTCACACAAAAATCAATGGTCGACTCATGATATCATCCTCATTTGTGGCACTACTAAAAATGAATCCAGAAAAGGGGTATGTTCTTCCACCCTTTCTTCAGTAGCTTACTTTTAATGTTGAACATTAAAAATTCAACTCAAGGAATGACTCTTTAGCATTGGGAAACCATCTTGGCAGGATCCGAGTAACACAATAAAACTGTTCATTTAATGAAAACTCAAGAGAGTATGTGCGTCATCATAGCCAGCCTATTTTGCTTTAAGGTCACTTCAGTGGTTCCACCAGTCAAGGCTATAATGATTGGGGCAACAATGACAGCATTTCATGAGGAAATCATAATTAATAGGCTGGGGAATGGTGAAAAAGAATCAATTCATAGTAAGTTAATACTATCAAAATTAACAGAACTTTCAGATTTTAAAAATTCCATTCTAAGTTCTCCACTTTTGATTGAGTTTAATGGAAATTAAGAGTCGGAGAAAGGAAAGTAAGAATTATCAAAAGAATGTCCACGCAGACACTGCAGCCCTTGGAAGGCGCTTCAGAACTTCAAAGTCAAAAGAGCAAAGTCAGCTTACATCTTCGCCGGGTTTCCCAGGAGGGCCTTCGGGTCCACGGGCACCAATTGGACCCTAATAAACCAAGGAAACAAATAAAATGTATCTATCTTTACTTACAACTGATAATGCTATAATCCAAAATATTGTAGAGACACATGAAAACTATCAGATAGAAATATTCTATTGATGTTCTGAATTTTATGCTTTCTCAGATCATGCTGGAAGTTGGGGAGGAGTTTAATTTAACAATTACAAATCTTTCACTGCTATCAACTAGCCATATTTAAAGCATTCTAATTAAAATGTTCTACCATCCGGGACACATGACCTAAACACAGTCCATAAAACAGGGCTTGTAAACTGGACTGTCATGTCTTTCTTCCTTAATGGGAGATCTGGGAAAATAGACCAACATCATTTTAATGTGTAGGTGTGACTGGGACTACCTGCTTACTTGACATTACCATTTGTCCAGGTTCACCAGGTTCACCGGGAGGTCCTGTAGGGCCAACACCACCCTAAAATTGAGAACAAGGATTTCATTTTACCTTGACCCATAATTTATGGCCAGCAGTCAAGAAATCAAATGATGCCTTCATTGGACAAATCAACAGCAAAAGAATGCTTTAAAGCTCAAACTTTGAAACTAAAGTGTGACTGACCTAAGCCAAGGTGTTTTCATATGCAGTTGAAAACTGGGCAATGAATAAGGAAGACCAGAGACGAATTCATGCATTTTGATTATGGTGTTGGCTAAGAATATTGACCAGCAGAACCAGCCACTGTTTTGGAAGTGCAGCGAGAATGCTTCTTGGAGGTGAGGATGGTGAAGCTTTGCCTCTTTTTCTTGGGACGTCTCACCAAGAAGGACGAGTCCCTAGACCAGGTCATCATGATTGGGAAAAGAGAGGGTCAGCGAGGATTAAAAAAGACCCTCGACAATAGGGATTGGCATCGTGGGTGCAGCATGGATGTGTCCAAACATGGCAAGGTTCTGAGGATGACCTTGGACGCACGCTGTTCCATTCTGTTGTATAAAGAGTTGCTATGGAAGTAGCCCACTCATGAGCACCGCACAGCAGAGCACATAGATATGTATATCGACATGGATATTTTATGAGTGTGCATATATGTGTTTGACACATATATCTAGACAAGCATATTATATCTACAAATTAAACCAAAACAGCTCTAAATCCAATACTTTTCAGAGTGTCATATGGTTGTTCAACTTGCAGGCTCTTCCACTTTCCAGATATGGAACCTTGCTCAAATTAGAGAATTCATCTGTATCTGTTTTACAACTTGTATAATGTCTGTTGTTGTTAGATGCCTTTACGTTAATACTGACTTAGGATAACCGCACGTTTGCACGGAGAACTGTTCAATTGGATGTTCAAAGGTGTGAGCTTTCGGAAACAGATCACCAGCACCGCTCTCTGATGCACCTACCTCTAGGTGGGGTCACACCACCATTGCAACTAGTAGTTGAGCCATTAATCATTTGAGTCGCCTAGGGTGCCTAACATATATAAGGCTATTATTGCTATCCAAGGGGTACCACGTGATACCGACAGTAAGTGGGTGTTCATTTAATGGCCTTTATCATCATCATCACGACTTCAACACCCTCATCCACTGCTACCTCTGCTATTCACCAATGGCAGAAATACCAAATGACTGGAAGCAAAACTCTATACATGACATAATGACAATATGTATCCTGGATTGCAATAAGTATTCTTTTCTTTCTTTCTTTAAAATATTATTTCCTCATGTCTGCTATAAAAATTAAAATAGCTCTAAATGATCATTTTACTGTCATTTGATAAGGTGAATAAAGAAAATCTACTGTTAAGAATGTATTTCAAAATAGTCTATGGAGTTATCACCTTTACTGCTATTGCTAATAATACCACAGGGGATGGCCTTCTTTGTTCTTGTCTCAAAGTCATGGAATTAGGAGACTTTTCAAACATGTAAAGAGAATGGTCAGCATGCTAGATTACTCAAAGGAAACTCGCTACTCTCGAGTGGATTCTGGCTCCCAGGGACCCTACAGATGCGCAGAGGGGCCACTTTGAGTTTTCAAGGGGGCCAATCTTTACAGGAGAAGGAAATGTCCTTGTTCTCCCTTGAAAGTGCGGACTTTCAGTTAGCAACCCAACACCTCATCCCCAGTGCCTCCAAGGGCTCCGTTTTGATCGAAGACACGATCTCTTACTAAGCAAAAGCTCATACTTCTTGGTACAAAGACCGTTTAAAAAACACAAATATTAAAAATTTAGTTCTAGAAGCAAGCATTAAAGAAAAGTACTGCAAGTACTTCTGAGTGAAAATTAATTAAATGCAGCTATTGAAAGTAAGTGCCACAATGCACACTTTAAAGCCTCGGGAAAGCCTTTGTGCCACACAGCCCTCAGTTTCCTTTTAGCTACAGCGTATGATTTCATTGTGCAAAGACTTACCTGCTGCCCTTGTAAACCTTGGGGTCCTCTTGGGCCAATAGGACCCTGAAAAACAAATGAGAGGAAACAATTGGATGGTGTTGATGAGAATTAGAATAAACATTTCAAATCTGCTGGATCAGCTTTGGAATCAGGAAGAAGAAAGGTTTGACAGTCAAGATTGGCGACATTCTCCATCTGCTCAGCCCAAGAAGATTGACACTGGCATGATTTCTATGTACACCCTAATCTGCCTATACACCCCCAGTGCCTGGGGGGCAAGAACACTCGCGTGCCTCGAGGGCAGTTCTGTTAAACCAGAGCATCCAAAAAGGAACAATCCGGGGAGGCACAAAGCTGCTATCATCAGTCTGCTTAATTCTTCACCTTCGAGGTCCATTATAATTTTATAGTTTAAACACAAAGTTAGAATTCAATGGTTTATGGATCCATTGATAATAAGGACAAAATTATTTTAAATGTCAGTTTAGGATTATTTAGAGGCCTGAAATTGCTGTGCCATTTCCTTCTTTCTCAAAATATGTCTAAAACATAGAAACTCTATCCACCCTCTTCCTCAGTGTAATCATGAACGCTTTGAGGAGGTGGCTCAAAGGGAAAAACACAAAAATGCCGTTGTAGAATTCATTCATATAGGGCTAAGAAGGAATGCATTTAAGACAACACATTATCTCGTGACTCGATAGCTTCAAAGGATTCTTTTGCAGGGGTGCTTCCATGCTACATATTTTAATTATCAGTAAAACATATGCTTACCACAGAGCCAGGCATCAGGCCTACTTGACTCCCAAGTCCAGATTTTTCATCCAACCCAGCCATCTGAGCTGAAAAGGGCTGTAAAAGCAGTGTGTTGATATTAATTTCACAGTAAAAAATGATACATCAATATAGATTTTAAAATCCATCCTGGAGATCCTATAACTCTGCTGAGAATTATTCTGAACTTTTGACTTGAATGCAATGGAAAAGGTTCAAGTGGTTCTTCCTTATAAAGCGATTGTGACCCAGCATTCCTCCCAGAGTCTCTTCTAACAAGGTGGCTCCAGACGATCTACAGCAATGGGTCAAATGCTTGACATGTGATCAAAGTGTGGATCATTCTGAGAAGCAGTTTTCCAGTCTAATTGATTTCAGGTTTAAATCTCTTGATCCAATGCCCTCTCATGTTTACAACACGCCAAAGATCTGAACAAAGGCTGAAAAATACTTTTAAAACATGCATGATATGATTCCAGCTTTCACATCACACGTTTCGATTGTACCTTTTTCCCTGTTTGTTCATGTCTAGTACATTTCAAATCGATGAGAATTTTATTATCCTCTTAATGAATCTCTGAATGCTCCAAGAATGGAAAATTATTGCTCTCGTTGCTTTAAAATTTTTAAAACTCTGTTTGCAAATTGACCAAAATTGCTTTATAGATTCCAGTAGTCCTATGAGTTTCCAGATTTCAATAGGAAAAAGCTGCCTGTGCTGCTTACAAAATAAAGTGACAATTCACTCATTCCATCTCTTTATCTCGGGTCCCATATGTCCATCTGTTTCTTTGCTGAGCCAGTGTTCTCATAAATCTCCTAAGCCGGCAACTATGAATTCAAGGAGGCAGAGACTTAAAGACAGTCTGTTTTATTTTCTCTCAACTAGGAAAAAAATAGATAGGAATCTTAGTAGCAATCCCAGGGCCTTTCCACGAGTCACCACAGCTTTGTCATCTTAAACGTGGAGGACACGGCACAGAGTTTGTTTGTGTCCTGACAGTGGCGGACAGCAGAAGGACCAGGATTTAGCTATCTTTTCGATTGAAAGCTAGTGGCCTTCTGAATCAAGAGGAGAAAGAATAGAGTCAATGAAATTCAGAACTGACATTGGAAAATATATTTGAAACTTCAAAAGTAGAAAAATTCTACTTGGAATTTTCTTAACTCCTTGTGGATCAGACAGTTTTATTATTGAACATAGTAGCATTGCATCCACCTTGCAACTTGAGGATTACGTTCACAATTAGCACATTTGGAAAACATAAGAAGAAATCGATCATTGAATATATTACCTGCCATAGATTGAATTGTCTCCACACAGAGAAATATGTTCCAACTGGACTGGCCCATGATTCCCTGGTTTGGTATTTATGTAATGATGCAACGTGGGAGTTACATAATCATGCCCCATGATGTTATCTGATGTGATAAACTAATCAGTCGCAAAAGGATTAAGGGTGGGATAGAACCTCCTTAATCCCTTGGAAACCTTAATCTGATGTTAGAAGAGTCTACCTGGGATGTGACTTGCAATGCCTTTTATTTTACGAGAGATTAAAAGAGAAAGAAGGAAACAGAGTCAGAAGGACCTAGTCCACCCAGAAAGAAGAGCCAGGAGAGGAGTGCCTCTTTGGACCAGGGATCCCTGCCCAGAGAACCTCCGAGACCCAGGGGAAACTGATGCCAAGGCACATGGAGATGGCCTCCAGATGCCGAAAAAAGACAAGACCAGATCCAACAGAGAAAGACAGCTCCCCCCCTGGAGCCACGACTCTGAATTTGAACTTCTTATCTCCTAAAGTGTGCGAGAATAAACTTCTGTCTGTTGACGTCCCACTAGTGGTCTTTCTGTGATGGCAGCACTAGATCACTAAGACAGTACCACGGACAACATGCACTGATGCACAGAACTCACCCTGCTCATCCCATCGGGTCCTGGGTGGGATGGATGTCCTGGAGGCCCTGGGGGACCAGGTTGACCAGGAACACCTGGTTCTCCATCAATACCCTGAGGACCACGGGGACCCTAGGAAAACAAGCCAGTGGAAATTAGAACCCATTGTAACATATCTACTTAGTGAAAAAGCTACAAGTGTAGACTTCTTAATGGCGAGCCACAATGGAAAGCATACTCCACAGTGGTGTCCTCAGGTACCTCAGCACAGCGTCTGCACTGGTCAGAGCTTCTACCATTAGATCATGGGCTTGGTAAGACTTTTACTCCTGAACTGCTAAGTTGTCAGTTTTCACCCTTCTTGGAATAATTATAAGACTGTATTCCATCCATCTGTACTCTAAAATGTACTTGACTTTTGCTGCTCAGCAAGTCGTAGCTTACAAACCACATTCTGAAAGACTGTGACACTAATCGGCAAGCATAACTGCTCAAATAAAAAGCGACATCCTGAAAAGATATTTCAACATTCAAATCGTGTTTGAATTCATGTGTCTGTCTTATATTACAGTTGCAAATTAGGCCCTTGCTTCACTTCACCCTCTTCCCAGTCCCTGATCCTCTCAAAAGTTGAAGTTCACTCGAAAGAGTTTGTGTTTATTTAACATAACTGATTGTTAAATGCTCTGCATACTTCCTGGTACGTGGTGGATATTCCATATAAATACTTTCTCATATTTTAGTCCTCTTTCTTGTACTACTTGACATCTGGCAAACTTATATTTTCTTTATTACCTCCAGAGATGGACCAGATCGATGAGAAACAGGAGAGACACAGTGACCCAGCCAAGTGCTAGTTTTCAAAGAAAAAAAGCAAGGGTTTCTGGCTGCCAACTCCCACCCTTCCCCAACACACATTCTAAATGCTGCTGAGGGCAGCCACGTACTCAAGGGCTGGGAACGCCCCACTCACCACCCCCGCTCGCCGCAGCCTTCTCCTCCTCCCCACCGTTTGGGGCTTTTCTCTTTAACCCTGCAGAGTCTTACTGGGTTTTATATAGGAAGAAAGGACTAAAGTCCTTATAAAACAGCATAGCTTTTCTAATTTGAAGCAAGGACTGAGGAGGAAAAGGGGGGAGTGGTGAATTGAAGTTGGAGTTTAAAGGTAAAAGAAGTTTTTCATGCTTAAAGTCAAGGGAATACATTTTGGCCCACAGTACGGACTTGACATGTGAACCTCATTAAGCAAAAGAAGAGAATTTAGGGCAAGCTGAGTTGGTAGAAAGGACAGTTTATGTGCAATGATTTAAGGAGGATGTAAATATTTAGAAACATATTATCTTTCAATTTACTCAAACATTTAAATAAATATTTTTGTCAGCTTAAGAACACATTCTGGAGACAGTAAAATCAATCAGCAAGCATGTCTGCTCAAGTCAAAGATGACAGCCTGAAAATATGTTTGAACATTCCTTCTTAAAAACATATTCACAGCCATTACAACCACACCAATTCCCCTAACTACTGATTATTTGCGGTACTCTTTCCATTATCCAGAATAAATTCTCACTGTCCTCAAGTCAACCCTGACTCTGTAGGACGGGACAGAACTGCCCCTCTGAGTTTTCAATGACGGTAACGTTTTAAAGGAGTGGGAAGACTAGCCTTTCTCCCGAGGACTTGCTGGTGGTTTTAAACGGATGACCTTACACTTAGCAACCCAACCGTAGCCTCCATGCCACTGGGGCTCCTACTCTACAAGCTGACTTTACCTGCTATCTAGGACTTCTAAACCACCTCCCCACCCCACCCGCAGAAAACCTGAACCCACTGCTAGACTCCAGGCCAGAGTAACCCTACAGGAGACGGTAGAACTGCTCCAAAGTGGGGGGAGATGAGGCTGTACATCTTTGCAGTAGAAAATCTCGTCTTTTCCCCCCAGACCAGCGGGTGGATTGACTTTGTAGTTAGCAGCCCAAAGCTTAACCTACTGCGCCAAACCCTCGGCCCTTCAGTCAGTTTGGACTCAGAGCAACCCTCTCCAGTGTTCCCAAGGCTGTATGCAAATCTTAATGGGAACCAAGATCACAAAAAGGTTGACAGTGTGAACTAAAATCTACATTGTCCATGATGACACAAGTCAAGTAATATTCTGATACAGTCATAGCGCATTACAGGGAAAACTCTTGACCTATTTGAGATGTGCAATTGCTAATTGATCACCAGGTTTGGGAAGCCCTGGCTGAAATGTGTGGATGCTAAGGAGAAGTTGGTGGGGGCAAATCCATGAAATGCTCCACAGGAGACAGATGTGGCCATCCACTTCTGGAAAGATGACAGCCTCAGAAGCCCTGGTGGACGGTTTTAGTCGGCCCCACCGGTCACAACGAGTGGACATTGACTCAATAGCAATAGATTTGGTTTGGGTACTAACCAAACTGATCTGTGTCCAAAAAGCGAGCAAGAATAAAACAAAATGACAGTTGTTGTCATGAGAGTGGAAGAAATTTGGGTATATGTATAGTCTTAAATAAATTGCATCCTTCCCTAGATTTCTATGATGAATAACAATATGTCAACATCTGCTGTCAGGATAGCTTGATTTCTCTTTTGCTTTGTGAACTAATAACTATCTCCATGGCAACCCATGTAAATAGTTTACTCTTTGATGCTGCAGTTATTGAGGGAACGCTTATAAAATGACCCAAAATTAAATGAGCATAATGCACAATATTACAAGTGACCAAAACCGAATGAATTTGAATACATACATATGATCATTCTGGAATTCACTAAAAAATGACATAGTTTCATATTTCAATGTGAGCTGAGTCACATAACTGTTATATTAAGGTCAATGTTTCCATCGCCCAGGAAACTGAAATAGCCCAGGCAGCAATCTGCAATAGAAAGTACTTATATACTGCCACTAGGTGGCAATCTTTAAACGTCCAGGAGGAAAAAAGAATTAATGACTCAGACACTTCAAGAACCCTAAGTCACTACTGGTTAATAGCATCTCGCCAAGCGAAAGCATTCATCAAATTCGAGTTTGTAAGATTCGGTAGACTTCTCAATTACAGATGAGGAAATTAAGACATAAAGAGGCTTATTGACTTGTATAATTAGAACTCAAGTGTTAGGGCAAAGAGAATAGTGATTTCTGAAAACATTTTGAAAGTCTACTTTTGTTAAAAAATGAGCATGTCTTTCACCGAGGTTCCGCCCGTCTTCCACCTAGCAGTGTCTCGATCAGTATAGAAGGGCAGAAGAGACCGCAAACCGCTATCTTCATCTAAAGGCAGTTTCGGCTTGGCTTTGCTTTTGAACTTTTGACCATGTGAACTAGTTTCAAGAACAGCCAATCTTGTTAAATTTTATGTCCTTTTCCTCTAATGGGTAAAAATTTAAAAATAAAGACGGATGGAAATTTAGAAGTCAGCAGTAAGATTCAATTAAATAACGTATGCTAAATTAGGAACTCGAAAATGATGCATCGAGCTGGGTAAATCTATTGCACAAGACCCCTTTAGAGTGTGGAAAAGCCAAGATGTTGCTTTGAGGACTAAGGTGTGCCTGACTCAGGCCATGGAATTGCCAATCACCTTATAAGCATGTGAAAGTTGTGCATTAAATAAGGAAAACGGAAAGAGGCTCTGTGGCGCAGTGGATAGCACCACAGAGAGCGTGATGGATCTAGTTCTTCTCAACTAAGGAAAACTGAAGAAGAATCGCTGAACTGGAATGACAGTGCTGACGAAGAATATCAAAAGTACCACGGGTTGCCAAAAGAACAAACAAGTCTATCTTGGAACAGGTACTGCCAGAATGCTCCTTAGAGGCAAGGATGGCCAGACTTCATCAGATGTACTTTGGGCATGACATGAGGAGAGATTAGCCACTGGAGACGGACCTCAAGCTTGGTCAAGGAGAGGGGCAGTAAAAACACGGAGGGCCCTCAACTAAATGGATTGGCTCCATGGCTGCCACAGCAGCCTCAAACATAAGAACAATTGTGAGGACGGTGCAGACCTGGTGGTGTTTCATTCTAGTACACGCAGAGCTGCGCGGAGTCGGGGCCCACTCAACAGCACTAACAAGAGCAACAACAAATTAGTAGCAGCCCGAGGCTTTTACCTCCAAGTCTTGTAGGAGCTGCTTTGCTGGACAAAAAGTGTGACTACCGATATACAAGGCCATCTGAACACTGGTTTCTCCCCTACACGTCCTTTGCCAATGCACACTACAGAAGGCTTCCTTGTACAACATGGTTTCTCAACTTAAATGCAATTGACATTTGGACTCAGATAATTCTGTGTTGAGAGAAGATGTCCTCTGCCCTGTAGTATGTTGACAGCATTCCTGGTTTCTACTTGCCAGGTGTCACTAGCAATAGCCCCCCAAAACCACACCCACTGCCCCGGAGTTCATTCTAAAACCTGTGGTCAAATGTTCTGGGGTATGGGGGACAGGGCAAGAGAGAGAAGAGTAGAGGGACGATTGTTCCAGATGAAAAAAAACACCAACAAACTGCTGATACAGAGAGTCCCAGGGAGGTATTAAGTACTAGCCAGTGATCATGCTAGCTCTCATCGTACGTCCTCAGTATTGTCCGGGTAAGTTCAGTGACAAGCAGGCACCGTGTCAACGGATGGTGTTTTGGAGACAATAATTTGCACTGGCTCATGAGACTCAGTGACACACATCTCGTTCCAACTCCCGTGTTTTGAGGCCTCGTCTTGATAGCTTGAAATCAGTCATGTTGGGAGTATTTATGCTAGGAAAATCAGCAAAGACTACAGATTAGGGCTTTTAAAAAAATAAAGAAGTAGTTGCTATTCATTAAGAGGAAAACTTAAGACTGTGAAACTTTCCTGTTTGGTTATCTGCCACAATTGTCTCAGTTAATTCTTCATAAATAAAAACTTCCGGGTCTTCCCTCCCAGGGTCCCTGAGTGGTCTACATGGTTTGTACTTGATTACTAACTAACTGACAGCTGAGTGGTTTGGACCCACCAGCAGGGCTGGGGGGGGTACAGCCTGGTGACTGGTCCTTAGAGATGGCAGGTAACCAAACCCGAGGCAGAGCTGTTCGACTCTAACCCCTGGGACCATCACTGTGGCTCAGACGAGACTCAACAGCAAGGAGTTTGTTTTTATTTACTCTTAACTCTCTGACTGGTTCTCTCTCTCTCTCCTCTCTCTGAAATACACTCACTCACTCACTAATTTCTACTAATGGTCTCAAACTTAACCAAGGTAGGAAATAAATCATATTACATATTAACTCAAGAAGGGATGAGAAGAGATGTGAGAAGGGTGGAAAGTACATTCAGAGGACCCCAGTCAAGGATTCTGGGAGTATTGACACTTTTTCACAGCAACTCCATCTGGATGTTGGAGCTGGGGGGTTACCAATTGCTCTGGCACAATTGCACTGATGTACAATACTTTCTATACGACCACCCAGCTTTCCACCTATCACTGTCATTCTAGCTCCTGAGTGGGCATCTGCAGAGCGACCAACAGTGTTTAAGCCGCTAACAATGACCAGCAATGAAGAATAGGGAATGAGGTAACCTGAATATATGTTTGTCTTCACCAATAGACATTTTCTGGATAATCAATATGTAATTAATGATGCTCTCCTTAGTGTAATGGTGCTCTCATTAATCAGCATGCCTGCAAACACCATGCATAACCCTAGCTCAAGTGTAGGAAGAATATTGACATCATACTATATCTAAAAAATACGTAAAGACATAAACTAGGAGCAAAGTTGAAACCAATGGTCGAAGTTTCTAGGGGTACCATTTAATATATGTTTTGGTTCCCACTTTTATATATTAAAGACTACATGTTGTGTAAACATAACAAGGGAATCCTTCATGGTTTAAAATCCAGAAAGTGTGTGTCAGGGTTGTGTTCTCTTGCCATACTTATTCAACCTGTATCCTCAGGAAATAACCAAGGAGCGGGATTATATGAGAAAACGTGCAGCATCAGGATTGGAGGAAGGCTTATTAACAGTCTAAGATGTACAGATGACACAGCCTTGTTTGCTGAAAGTGAGGGGCCACAAGCATCTGCTGATGAAGAACAAGGATTGTAGCCAATATATAGTACAGTTCCATGTCAGGAAGACCAAAATCCTCACAACTAGATCAATTTGTAACATCATGCTAAATGGAGAATGGAATGAAGCTGTCAAGGGTTTTTGTCTTGCTTGGATCCACAATCAATACTCGTGGAAGCGGCAGTCAAGTGATCAAAAGATGCATTGCATTAGGTAATCTGCGACACAAGGAAAATAAGGCTATTACTATGAAGACTAAGGTGTGCCAGAATCAAGCAATGACACAACAGTGGTATTTTCAGTTGCCTCATATGCCTGTGAAAGTTGGACATTGACGAAGAAAGAAAAATGGATGCCTTTGAATAGCGGTTTTGAATGAAGAAGAATATTGAAATGACCATGGACCGCTAAAAACCAAAGATGTCTTAAAAGTACAGCCAGAGTGCTCCTTAGAGGCAAGGATTGCAATTTGTCTTCCATCCTTGGAAATGTTGTCCGGAGAGACCAGTCCGGGAGAAGGACATCATGCTTGGTCAAGTGGAGGGGCGTCCAGAAAGGGGAGGGCCCTTGAGGAGACGGACTGACACAGCGGCTGCAACAATGGGCGCAAGCCTAGGGACTGCGAGCGCGCGCGGTGCAGGCCGGGGCGGTGTTTGGTTCTGCTGTGCCTCGGATTCCTGTGCGTCAGGGGCAACTTGAGGACAGCTAACAAAAATAATGTATGTTGTTTCCTTGTTACTCTATTTCTTTCATTTTACTATAAGCATATATTTAAAATGAAAAGAAAACACAAACAAATGACAGCTTCAGAACGGATTCAGACTTCCAGGGACCCAATAGGACCAGCAGAGCGGCCCCTGGAGTGTCGGAAGCTGTCTCTACAGGGACAGACGCTCGGCTCCCCCTGGGGCCTGGCTGGGGGTGCGAACTGCAGACTTCCCCGCTGTTGCCCAATAGGCAGCTCCTTATGCTCCTAGGGCTCTCAAATGTATACATAGAGGGGGCTCAAAATCCATACATAGCTAAAATCATTAGGCAGAAACACTAAACAGCACAGATGTTCTGATTATAGCACGGACAGAAATATAAATTATTATTATAGCAGAGGCATTTCTTATGTGCATTGAGAAATCAAAATAACAAAAAAGTAACTTTAATCCCTGGATTTGAAAATAACTATTATTCTGTACAGGTATGCAAAGGGATAAAGCATGGTATGTATTATGTAATAGTCTCAGGTTTTATCTCAAGGGTATATATAGGCTAATTAGTTAGACTGTAAAGTGTTAGCTTTGTGCTGGTTATGAAGTTGTTGACTTTTCAAATTGCTCTTTTGGTGGTTCGTCTCAGTAAAAAGGGGAGGTATTACTTAGAAAACAAGTTCATTGTTCAACCACTTGAAAGAAAACGGTATTGCCTAACAATCTTTTTCTCAATTCAACTTGATTATTACTGTGGCAACCACACACGCTACTGAGCATCACAGTAGTACAGTTTGGGCATTATTTACTGATGAATTACAATTTCTGGAAGCAATCTGGTATGTAAATCAGGTTTCTTAGATTCAAATTGATTTTCATTTGACCTCATAAAGAACCAGAACATATCCGTGGTGTCTAATGAAGATTCGCGTGGATCAGCATGGACCCTTGTCTCTGCATCAGAAGAGGTACGGAAGCACTTCATGCCCTGGGTTCTTTGTGTCCGTGAGGAGAGGAGAGGGGAGAGGAAGAGCACTGGGAGGACTGCGACTTCCGTCCACAGTCATCAAGGGCGAGCTGCTGCCAACTTACAGGTCTTCCTTTGGGACCTCGCTCTCCTCGTGGGCCTTGTGACCCCGGAGGCCCCTAAAACAGAAAATAACTGCCATTACTGCTGTGGGTTCACACTTCTGTCTGGTTTTATCTTAAAGGCTTGTTTCAGATAAAGAAATTCAATAGCAAATTCTCTTCTTGATTCAGTTCAGTTTAAGACTATAGAGAATAAAATCATAGTAAATAAATCTCTATGTAGACAGGAAACAGCAAACAAACCCACTGCCATCGAGCCAATGCTGACTCAGCACGACTTACCTGTGGGCTTCCTGAGACTGTACCTGTTTCTGGGAGCAGAAAGCCCAGCCTTTCTCTTGTGGGGCTGCTGGTGGTTTCAAACTGCTGACCACGCAGATCGCAGCCCAGCGTGTAACCATGACACCACCAGGGTTCCATAGGGTTATTTTGGCAGTGAAGCTTGAAGGGCCCCAAAGAAGGCTAGGCTCTGTCACAGCATCGTGGGGCCCAGGAAGTGGACATGGGAGGTTGAAGTAGTGAGGACTCTAAGTTTCTTACTCTTGCATAGTCCTTTTCACTAAATTCTGCATACAAAATTTGCAGTTCGGGTTTGGAAAAAGAAATACACAAACCCCAAATGATACCACTTATCTGAGGGAATGTTTGCATTCACATCAGTACACGATTCTCCTAATTATTCATAATTGTTCAAGCTGTGGTGAAACGAGTAGAAAGAGAGGCCGTTTCGCCTTTATGTACTTTGGCGTCTGTATATACCTTCACCAATCTTGATTTAAAACTGGATTAAGAATGCTGCATCATCTCCAATGTATATTTAAAAACACAATTAGAATAATAATCACAGTATTTCTCCTGGAAAATAAAAAATGGCATTTATCTTCCAAAAGAGGTGTTATTTTGATAGTAACTTAAAAATGCTCTTATAGATCTGTGGATGGCACTTGCCGCATCTTTCCTCTTTTCTCTGCAGAAAACTCTCCAAGGAAACTTTCGATTGCTCTGTGATGATTACCTTATGTATTTACTCAGTCCAATATAGTCCAATTTACTCAATCCAATATATTCTGTGTGCCATTCATGACTGTCAAGTAATACCTAAACCTGAAGATGTTCGAGGTAGACTGTCTTAAGAACAAACCATCACTGTTTTATGTTACATCAGCTTCTTGTGGATTTTCAGTGCCACAAAGAATACAAGTCCTATGAAGAATGGCGGGCAATACTTACTGCCAGTCCTGGACGACCCCGTATGCCTGTTACCTGGACAAGGAACAAGATAATCAGTCGAAGAACAGCTTTGGAGTTCTCAAAAGTCAAGTAAATAATAACAACAAAAGCCACAGTGAATTTCTTTTAAACAATTGTTTGTCAATAATACCCATTAATGAGCTTAAAAAACAAAACATAAAAAAAAAAAAGGAAAATGAGTGGATTCCGGGAACCCAAGAGGCAAGCGAATTTTGGGAATCATGAGGGCAACAAATGTATAGATGTGCTTTACACAATTGATCTATGTATTGTGATGAATTGTATGAGCCCCAAAAAATTGATTAAAAAAGAAACATTGTGATTGGCAGTTAAAAAAAAACAAAAAACACATAAACCCTCACTGCCATCCAGTGATGGGACTCATCGTGAGCAGAGGGCTGGGTAGAACTGTGCCCTTTGGGTTTCAGAGACTGTAACTCTTCGCAGGAGTAGAAAGCCGGCCGTTCTCCCTGCGGAGCCAATGGTGGTTTCAGAAGGACCACCTGGAGGCTCTCAGCCCACTGCCTGACCACCACGCCGCAGGGTTCCGCCAGGAGTAGGGTGATACCCAGGTAGGGCTCCACTGTGAGCGGCATCAGGGAATTACTTACTTCTCTTCTCTGAGCTTGTTTACTGCTCTGGGAAATGGGGATGATGCTTATGAATAAACAAGCTCGGAGAAGAGAAGTAACAGTTGTTTCTTCAATCAATAAAGACATGCTCAGTTCTTAAACATCCCTCACTCAGCAGTCACTCCCTCACTCAGCAAGCCCGTGCAGATGCTTACTGACAGAGGAGCGCTGGGCCTGCGTCTCCGGAGTGAGCCGTCCAAAGTGACTACCCTACTGACCCACCAGGCACCTTCTAATTACACAGACCTCTTTTGAATTACAGGACACAATTCCATTGTAAGCAACCTTTGTGAGAAACAAGCGAATGGAGAAAAAAGCAGGGAAAACGCAAACGCTGCAATGTAAGTCAATGCAGTGTATTCTTTTATCTTGAGAGTGATCATCCCTGTAAAATCTATCTGTAAAGTCTTGGAGAGTGGTGGTTAAAGAATATTTGTTCCATTTAATAATATCCTTTTGATAATCTACAAGTCTAAACAACTTTTATGTAACATAAAATTCCATTGAATGCTGACATGATATTCTCAGGAGTGCTGAAACAATGAACAATATATTTCTATATAGATTATGTGGTTACTTACCATATGAAAATTATGCATCTTAACTACCAAAATATATTTAATTTTGTAAAACTCTCATTTTTTCCTGTAAATCATGCGACTGCAAAAGTCAGGAATAGAGAACTAGAGAACATTAAGTATGAACTGAAGATAGAGTTAACTTTTCTCTTGTTTTTTACTAATCCACTTAGCTATACTATAGTTGCATGGTATTATTTATGCAATCTATTAAAAATCTTATTTGATACCCATGTTATGAAAATAATATACATATATACTTACAACAGGCACGAGTCCTGGTTCTCCTTTTTGTCCCTGTGAAGGAAAAAATTCAACAAGTAAAATAATATCTTGTTTGTCATGGACACATCATAACCAAATATGACAGAAACCCTGGGAACTTATACAAGAAATATTAAACATGAGAAAAAACTTTAACCATCAATTTGTAGCATAGTTACTCAGATATCTTTAATATTAAGAAATAATATTTCTCATCTGAAAGACATGAAAATAAGAGAAATTTCATGTGCAGGGAAAAGGGATAATTTGTAGTTGTTTCACTTCAGATTTTACAGAGAGCAAATCCAAACAATGGTCTAGAGAAAGATATGGTTGTGACGAAAAGAAGTAAAGTCAAGGTGCATAATAAAAAGCTATGCAAAGATTGAAAAGAAAATCCAAATAACTTTCTGTATTTGGATGGTCACAGGCTTAGTGCCTGCCACCAGCCATGAGTTAGATGTGCTCCCCCAGCTTCCTGCCGTCCTTCCTTAGAACACGGAGCAATAATACCCGGAGGAGCTCTGTGTGCTCATGCTAAGGAAACCACAGACAAGAGGTGACAGCTCTGAGTCCCTGAGCAAAATCTCGACAACAGCAAAATTCAACTGAATAGAAAAAAACAAATGAAATAGCACAAGAACTATCATGACTGTGAATTAGACAGAGTCGAGTAAATTAGATTTTCTTTTATAATGAATGAGAGAGAGCACTCCCTCTAATTCTTAGAGGGTTTTCCCCCTCACAAGTGTATTCTTACAGAACGAGAATGTATGTAGGCTAAATAAGGATTAGATGAAGTGGACCTCCATACGCCTCTATTGTATCAAACATTGCTTGGTATGATTTCCTGAAAGAGACGTCTTCCAAAAGATTTTGGTACCTTCTAGGTGATGATCATGTATCAGTCTATGTCCTCAGGGAGGCACGTGGAAATTCCAAATGTACCCATTGTTAAAGATATCAATCTTTATTAATATATTATGATATAAGGATTTTGATAGGACAATTGGGAATAGCAAATAATAAATTTATGTATTCCACACAAAATTAGAAAAAATCATGAGGAATTACTTAACTTCTCCCTTCACATATTGTTCTTTCATCTGACTATAAAAATAAGATGTTTTCATAGGAAAGAGTTTTGAAACTAATGGGAGTATACTGAAGAAACTAAAAATCAAACTCATTGGGATATAATCACTATTATATCACTAAGTTAAGACTGGTTGTCTTAATTTCTTATCATGTATATACATGCACTCTACATTAATGTCCTATTATTTTACTCTTACATTTTTGTTTTAATTTACACAATAAAAATAACACTGCATTGGACATTCTTAGTCACAAATGCTTGCATTACACATCCGGTAAATACCTTATCATCTGCTTCTAGCTAGAAATTAAATTTGTTAAAGATGGGATCAAATCTTGAAAGGTTTGAAGAGAACCCCTCCAAGGACTAGGAAACAGCCGATGAATGTATATGGGCTGTGCTGAAAGATGGGTGTATTTCTGAATTTCCAGAATGGATAACTCTCAGCCTTGGTCTTTCAATTTAAAATAGCATGAACATATTAAATAATAGTTGTTGTTATTGATCGAATAGTGTCCCAAGGAACTATGTACTGGAATTCTGGTGTATTGAATATGCATCAAATTCATGATTCAATTATGTGGTTAAATCAGTAGACCATGAATAGAATGGATTATCTTCCAGGATGTGATGAAATCACTTTCCGTGTGCAATCTAGTGCAGTGCAAGCAATCAACCAGTTGAAGTAATATCAGTACAGGGTGTTTCCTAAACCTAATCACTCTGCCTTATAAAAACAGCAGACAGAAAACAGACATGCATCCATAGAAGGAGGAGGACTGTCTCCAAGCAAAGAAACCAAACAACTATTAACTTAGGACTATTAACAAGAAGGAAGTGTTAACTATTAACACTTAGGACTATTAACAAGAAGGAATTGGCAGGGAGAAGAACTGATTTGGGCTTTTATCCCCCTAGACCTGTGAAGAAATCAACGTTTACTTTCCAATTAATAGGAGAGGGATCATAAACTAACTGAACTTGAAAGAACTGCCTGCCTGCCTTTCTTTTGTTCCTTCCTTCATTCTTTCCTTTCTTTGATCCTTCCCTTTAACAAATGTACACAGTATTCCTTGCATGAATACGTGTATTATAGATACTACCACTATAATAGATGCAAAGAATTAAAAGGCTAATAAAACATATTTGTAATCCTCAAGGAGTTCACAATCTTAATTAATAATCATATAATTAAAATAGAGACATTTGTAATATATAGGCACAGTTGATATGCACTCATATATTTAACACAGTGCATTTGTATGATAACTGATCGTTTTCAAAAGTGTTCACACATTTTAAAACACAGTATGTGTAGCTATGATATATTAAATTCTACTGTGAAAGAGAAATTATCCAAAATAAAACTTACCTTTCTTCCTCTACCTATAAAAAGAAAAAATATAAATGTGATTTTATAAAAGTAAAGTTACTGAGAAGTAGCGACATATTAACTTTCAATAATAGCATCTTGTACAGCTAAAATGTGACTTAAACAGGCATCCCTATCACCAGTAGGCAGAACTCATAAGCTGTTTTGATCAATATTTTGATCAATATTTTTGATCAATATTTCCATAAAAGCAAACTATTACATCCCTTTGGAAAATTCTGATACTGACTATTCTCCCTAATATTCATATCACACTCAACATTTATTAAATCACAAAATTAATTTTTAAAATTACAATACTTTAAATTATCTTCAATCCATACTCTCCATTTCATTTTTGTCTCTTAAGATTTTTAAGTATTCCATTCATTCATATGATTCAAATACTGTAAAACATTGTGTGTACAGTTAGTTATACACTGAGAAATCTACCTCTTTCCCCTATTTCGTATAGTTAGCCCTTATAGGATGGCATTATTATAAGTTTCTTATGTATTGTTCTTGAGTTTCTTTTTACATATATAAACAAATTTATGAGTGAAGTCTACTCTGACTCGCGGTGACTCCAGGTGTCACAGAACAGGGCTGTGCCCCGGGTTCTCTTTGGTGTAAATACCTGTATTTCAAACTGCAACTTTGAGGTTGGGAACTGGTCACAAATCATGTGCATCACCCAGCAATTTTCCTAGCCCATATTAAAAGGATGATGTTTCTATGGGCCAATGCAGTAGACGGTGGTATGACATTTTATGTATTATATTAGAAATAATTATTTTCTTCCCAAGAGCAAAGTTGGCACCAGGAAAAATACATGTATTTTCTAGGCTGCCTCTTGGATATGAATGGACTTAGAAAATCAATAAATACCTCGGAGACACTCACCGAGAACACTATAAAAAGAACAATCTTTAGAGCTCCAATAATACTCAGATTAGAAATAAGCACATAAAATTCAGCCAGAAGTTTCTCTGATTTTCAGACAACGTGTGGTGGTAGGGGTGGAGGGTAAATCAGTTCATCAAAGACCTCTCTGTGATGCCTTCGCTCTCTCACGGGTTGCTTAGCCCTGAGAGCTAAAACCACCGCAACTACAACGATGCCTCATTGAATCAATTCTCAGTTGGTCCTCAGCATTCTTACCAAAATTGGTGTTGCCACCACCAGTCGTATGTGAGCAGACAGCACAGCACTCCCCGGCAGGAGTGACAGGGTGGGCACACTCATGCAGGGTTGGGCACTCTATCTTGTCACAGAGAATGGCTCCATTGTCACAGACACATATCTGGCAGGGGGCAGGTTTCCAAATGTCTCGGTTTAAGTACATCTGGCCATTCTGCGTGCAGGCTATCTCTTCACCATAACTCTCTAGAATTAGAAGAAACAATAATTAGAGGTTAGTAATTTTTTGAACCTGGGGAATAGAATATTTAAAGGTGAGTCATCTTGTGGGTTCAAAAAAATCTTGGGCTAAGCAGTACCCTCACAAGGAGACAAAAACAGACGAACGTAACTATTTAGTATTTACACAGAACCAACCAATTGCCATTGAGTTGATTCCAACTCAACTCAGATGACCCAGTGGCTGTCTATTTTTTAAATAGAACCTCAGACCTTTCTTCAAAGGTGCCGCTGGTGGAATGGAACTTAGAACCTTTCAGGTAGCATCCTAGCATGTTAACTATACACACTATAGCTCTATAGAAAACAATGTGTAATTCACCATGAAACAACTAGGTTCATATTTATATTCTAGTATGATAAGAGGGTGGGGGGAATAAGTGGTTAAAAATAGATCAATGTAATCAGACAGTGCATCTTCTAAGACTTTCGTTTTGAAGCAGTAAGTGATAAAAAATGGGAAGATAGTTGTTAAGTGTCATTGAGACAGTTCCAACTTGTAGTGACCTCGTGTATGACAGAGCAAAACACTGTCACGTTCTCCCCCATGCTCACAGTTACTGCTTTACTTGGACCCATTGTTGAAGCCTATGTGTCAGTTTATAGTGTTGTTGTTAGGTCCCATTGAGTTGGCTCGGACACGCAGTGACCACGAACAACAGAATGAAACACTGCATGGCCCGATGCCATCCTCACGATTGTTCCTTGGCTTGAGCCCGCTGATGCCGCCTCTGTGTCCATCCATCTTGTCAAGGGCCTTCCTCTTTTTGCCACCCCTCCACTTTACCACACATGATGTCCTTCTCCAGGGACTGGTCTCCCCTGACAATGTAGCCAAAGCATGTAAGACAAAGTCTTGCCATCCTTGTCCCTACGGAGCACTCTGGCCTTATTCCAGTACAGATATGTTTGTCTTTTTAGCATTTCACAGTAATTTCAATAGTCTTCTCCAGCATCACAATTCAAATGCATTGATTCTTCTTCAGCCTTCCTTATTCAAAGTCCAACTTCCATCAGAGGGTTGAGTGTCTTCTTTTTCATTGACCCTCTAGTTTACTAATCATGATGTCCTTTTCCAGGGGCTGGGATCTCCAGATACCATGTCCAAAGTACACAAGACAAAGCTCCCCTCTTCTAAGGAGCATTCCCAGACAGATGTGTTCATTCTTCTGGAAGTCCAGGGTATTTTCCAAACCATAATACAAATATCAGTTACTCTCCAGTTTTCTTATTCATTGTCCAACTTTCGACGTCAATGAGGCAGTTCGAAATACCATGACTTGTGTCAGGCACAGCTTAGTCCTCAAAATGACGTTTTTGCTCTCGAACACCTTGAAGAGGTCTTGTGCAGCAGATTTGGCCAGTACAATGTGTTGTTTGATTTCAGGACTGCTGTTTTCATGAGTACTGATTGTAGATCAAAGTAAAATGGCATCCTTGAGAACCTCAATCCTTTATATCTTTATCATGATGCCATCCAGCGGTCTAGCTGTGAGTTTTGCTTCTTTACATTGAGTTGCAATTCATACGGAAAGTTAAGAGCTTTGATTTTCATCTGCAAGTGTTTCACCTTCTATTGGCTTTCAGCAAACAATGCTCTTTTATCTGCATATCAAAGGGCTTGGTGGAATAGTGTGTTATTTCTTGGACCACTAACCACTTCGAAATCACCAGCCATCCCTCAGTAGAATGATGAGGCGTTCTACTCCCGTAAAGAATTACAGCCTCAGAATCCCCCAGGGACAATTCTACTCTGCCACTATGGGTGGGCACTGAGTAGGCACAGTGGGTCACTCTGAATAGGCATTGACTCAGTGGCAGTGAGAGAGAGAAGATAAACCTTCCCCCAGTCTTGATACTGCTATTCTTCTTCATATAATCCAGATTCTCGTGTTATACGATCAGCATATGATGGGAAGTTTAGTAAGGAAAAATGCAAAGAGAAAACAAAGGACAGAAAAAAAGAACAAATGATTTTCGTGCTTAAGGGACCTTGCTGTGACTTTCAACTTACAATAAAACTTGTTAACCACAGAAAAAAAGAAAATGTGTGTTCATATACCATGGAAGAAAACTTCAAAATATTTTGAACATACAGTAAAAAAAAGCAACAGTGTCCCATTTATAATAGAAGTCTCTGCTAGACATTCTAAAACTGAAAGATGCTTACTAAATTGTACTGGGAGTGTAAAACTAGGTGATGAGTTACTTATGTTTGCAACGAAATCAAGGAAAGCTATGCCCAAAACAAAATCATGTTTGTATATAAAATATCCTCAGAATGGTTTCTATAATTTTATTAAAATTAAGGGAGATTGGGAGAAACATAGAACAACACTTGAATACCTAGTTCTTGCAACTCTTATTAAATACATATATATCTTACTCTGCAAATTAATAAGAAAAAATCTCTAACATTTTTTTAAATTTATATGGATATTACTTAGCTTAAACCTTTCAGGAAGTTCCTAACTACTAAATTCAATCACTTAATGAGGCCTAATGACCACGCAGGATCTGCACCAGCCTACCAATCCAAGCCTACAGGTCATGCGAGCCTCTCCTCATATGCCATTCTCTTACCACCCAAATCTTGCTCCTCCCTGAAAAGGCAATGTCTGCCACCGCTCCAGCCCTGGTCTGGAACTGCCTTCCCCTCCCTCATCCCAACAACGCCTGGTTCGCCCTCAGAGCTTGTCATTCTTCCCCAAAGTGTTCTCTGACTACCTAGATAGAACTTCACCAAATTGACAGGCTTCACAGAATGCTTAAAATTGTTCATTCATTCATTCATTGTGGCTAGATTACACAATGACAGTTTAACAGTCTCTAAACTGTAAACCAGCAAGGCAAAAAATCCCTGCACCCATGGAACTCATCACAATTCATGCTAATGTATTTATTTCTGCTTGCTCATTTTATCACCTGCATTAGACAGCAAACACCCTAAAAGGTGAAACTAGATGCCTTGGTTATCACTATCTTTCTAGTGCTTGATGCCACACCTTGCCAAAAAACTGATACAGATACAAATAAATGGATGAGTCTAAATTAGAGTCCACTAACTGAAGTGCACCAGATTTAACTCTTCACTTTATAAAAATCAAACCAAAATGTTTAAAACTTCATTTGGAAGCAGTTATTGAAAAAGAGATCATTTGGCATATTGCACAAATATACGCAAATAATAACAGAAACCACAAATGACAATATTTTCAATAAGGTGAAGACTTAACTTCCATATTTCTAGCTTTCGAAGGTTTTCCTAGATAGACTTTTTCTTACTACTCTTTTATACATAATATGGAAGGCTCTGCTTCACATATTTACTCTTTTATCACAAATTTTGGCAACTAAAAAATTACTTTAAGAGCATGACACTGTACCCTTGTTCCTGTGCTTTTCACAAGAAGAGCACTATGTTCCGAACACAATTCATCTTCATCTAACACATTAATCGCCTAACAACAACAACAACAACAACCAATTGTGCTGCCATTGAGTCAATACGGGCTCATTGTAACCCTGTAGGAGAGGTTAGAACTGCCCTGCGGGTTCCCGAGATTGTAAGTCCTCCTGGGAGGAGAAGTCAGTGGTTTTGAACTGCTGACCTACTTTTATGACCTACTATGTAGATAATCAACAAAACAAGATTGGCTTTACATACACAGTAGTACCACTGTGGGCATTTTAAACCAAGAATAAGACCGGATTCCTGTTTTATTATTTGGGGCAATAGAATTATTGTTTGGAAAATCAAGAAATGTGTACAGCAAATAAACAGTATGAATTTTTAGATGAAAGATTATTTTGAAATGACGTAGCTCCATGACGAACATTTCCGCAAAATACAAGCATACAGAAACGATCTTACATCTGCAGACCACTGAATAAATCTCCTAAGTAGATACATTCAAGATAGATTTCCTCATTAAAGGCTATGACGGAGAATGACCTATGTGAGGAAGTATGCCATAAACTCAGTTAGTTGGCTTCTCCCTTCCCATGCCTGCATTTGCTGAGAACCAAGTGGCTATGAGCCTCGTGTGCTTCATAAAGTGCTTTTGATGCACAAAAGACTGAAGCACAGGTGTTCTGTCCTCAATAATATTGTCATTGCGGAGTTTACAAAACTGTACCCAGGAAGCAATTAGGTAGCTAGAAATACAAAAAGAATACAGAAACCAAAAAATAAAAAATACATGGTGTCTAATTAAAATGTTTGAAATATGCTATTCTCTGTCACTCTTTCCAGGTTGGTTTTAAAAAAACCCTTTTCCTCAGTCCAGTGTTAACATAGAAGGTCAGTTTCTTCCTGAGCGTCTAAGACAGCATGACCTCAAACCAAGGGTCAAAAAAAGTAGGCCATGGTATTTCTTCTCTTAAATGACAATGTTAAAAGTTAGTTGTATGCTCTGTGTGATCACCGGTTCCTTGCCCCGTGAGAATTTATAATTAAATTGGAGATGATGTGGAAAGCTAGTTTGAATGCTTTTTAAATGGCAAGGAGAGGAAAAACCACATTCGTTGCTAAACTCTGTCTTCTCTTCACCCACACAAGAACCCGTACACATCACAGAGGCCCAGAACTGCCGATGTTCGTGTCTGAATGAAAGGCCTGGACAAAGAAACAGTGGGCTGAAAACAGAGGGTTTCCTGCAGTTTTCTTGTTTGGAGATGGTGATTGTGCCCCATATGATTAGGTCGTCCCTTCTCTTTTCTATGGAAGCATCGTTTCAATAAAAAGAAAAGTAAAATAGCAAAAGTGTAGCCAATTTGTTGGGGGGGAGCGGTTTCACAGTAAAGTCGCTATACCTTATAAGTTATTTTATGAAAGTTGATTTATTTTTTTTAAAAAAGAGTTTTCAAGTCACATTCTGAGAGATTCTAATATTATCCTGATTCTTTCACTCAAACCCCAAAATTGACGCCAGGCAATCAATATAAGATGATGACTTTAAGTCCCT